AGTCCAGAGCTTCCCATCCCTGTGCACCCCTCCACACACACTGGTCTGAGATCAGTGTGTGTGGGGACCTTGATGAGAGCTGTGTCTCAGCTGGATGAGAAGCTGCCTGAAGACAAACTGGAGCGGATGAAGAGGCTGCAGCAGTATGCAGGGGATATAACTCTGGACCCTGATACAGCACATCCTGAACTCATCCTCTCTGAAGATGGGGAACAAGTAAGACATGGAGACTCACAAAGAAATCTCCCTGACAACCCAGAGAGGTTTGAAAGAGTTGTTAATGTCCTAGGAAAGGATGGCTTCTCTTCAGGGAGATTTTATTATGAAGTGATGGTCAAGGGGAAGATTGAGTGGGATTTAGGAGTGGCCAGAGAGTCCATCAACAGAAAGGGTCCGATCACACTGAGCCCTAAGATTGGATACTGGGCTGTGTGGCTGAGGAATGGAAACGAGTACAAGGCTCTTCGTGACCCTCGTGTCCTGCTCTCCCTGAGAGAGAAGCCCCAGACGGTGGGGGTGTTCGTGGATTATGAGGAGGGTCGGGTCTCCTTTTATGATATGGAGGCCAGGTCTCACATCTACTCTTTCACTGGCTGTGCCTTCACTGAGAAACTCTATCCATACTTCAGCCCCTGTTTTAATGATGGTGTTAAAAACTCTGCCCCTCTGATCATCTCATCTGTTAATTACACAGGCTGATTAACAAGTCTCTGAGATGTGTAGTCCCGTGTAGCTCAGTTGGTAGAGCATGGCGTTTGCAACACTAGGGTTGTGGGTTCGTTTCCCACGGGGGACCAGTATGATTGTTTTTTTATTATGCACTCACTAACTGTATGTCGCTCTGGATAAGAGTGTCTACTAAAATGTAAAATGTATTGTTGGAATGGGAACAAATCAGTAAATTAAAGGGACATTTCAAAAATGTTAAACTTCATATTCATAATCTCCAGCACACCCCAACAACAACATATGTGAAAATGGTGCGTTTCTATGTTTTGTAGTAAAAAAGAAGATGACATCGTCAACCAATTAGTAGACAGTTAGTAGGCAATGACTACTCATGATTGGTTAAAATCACAATGCATACCGATGATGATGAATATGAAGTTGAATGTTTTTTTAAATTACCCTTTAAGTCAAGTTTCATAATTAATTCTTTTCATTTCCATGTAGCTATATCCTTGAGATCTTATAATCTGAAAATGAAGGCTATTCTCTGTCTCTGTATTCCTATTAAAATCAAATGTTTGTATTTACTGAAGGAAAACCATCAAATTAAATGAATTTAAATAAAAAGCAATTACATCTACTGTAGATTGCTTCGAGTATTCTTACTTACCCAAAAAGCTGACAATTGAGAATAAAAGCTAACAGTTGTGTGACATTTTTGTTCGACATATGATAGGAACAGAGGGGGAGATCATCTTAGCAGAAATATATCAACCTGTTGTATTGTGTAGGACTATCCACAAGCTTAGTTTGAATGTGTCCTGGGGGAGTCGGCTGATTATTAATACACCCTTTACAGTCAGTTGCTCCAGTATCAATCAGCTCATCAGCAAACTGTTAGCAAAGAACTAGAACCCGCTTCAATAGATCACTCTTTATAGGGACAGGGTAGCCATTTTCTCTACCACTCTACAGAAAGAGACTAATATCTCCCAGAAGATTGTTTAATTGTTTTATCAGAAAATTGGGTAACACTTTACTTGACACCCAGCGTCATAACACGTTATGACATGGTCATAACCATGTCATAACGTGTCATAACAGCTGACATAACCATGTCATAACCATGTCATAATATGTCATAACAGCTGACATAACTTATCATAACCTGTCATAATATGGTCACAACACTGTCGTTACATAGAAAGATCTGAGAGTGATGTATCAGAATACTCTCTGATGCAGACAGGTCAAGTTGGGGGCTGTTTTCCTACAGCGCCTGGATGGCATGGAGATTATCCTCTCGGTAGAGTTTCTCTGGACTGTGAGGGGCTCTGGGACACATGGCATTGTCCGTCAACGTGAGGGAGAAAACAATACTGACGAGATAGGGTTCGCTTTGTCCAGACATCTGGACTAGGGAACCCCACAGACAAACACCACATTGACTGTCAAACTTCCAATGTTATTCGGACATGTTTGCCATACCAGTAGGGGTGGGAGTAGTGGGAGGAGCTAGGTGTGTAATGGAGGACAGTGGGAGGGAGTCATCCAGCTCTTTGTCATCTATGTAGATGGTATATCTGCGATGCTTGATTCCGCTGTTCTATTTGAAGTATTTTCTGCTTATCACCCTGTATCACCCTGAGCCATTCATCCCACTATTCAGAGGTCATTGGGAAGTTTTTACCTACTGTGGTGTTACTGGGGGATACAATATTTATTGATTTATCCTGCCAATGACTAGGCTATAGCCACTCCAATGGCAGTGTTCTCAGTGACAACAATACACACCTCACAGAAGAATGGAGACCAGTTATGCAGGAGGAAAATTGAGCTAATGAGTGATAGCCCATTGAAATGGGAGCTTAATATAATTTAATCTCTTATGACCTTTCAACTGTGGCTGCCGTGGCAACTTCCCATGGGTCTTCCAGGCTTGAGCCCTCTAACCTGTGCCTCTGGGGAGAATGACAGATATGGGTCAGCAATGCAAACACAGAGTGTGAATGAACCACATCAGTCATGGAGTGGAGACACTGGCAGGAAAGGGGTTTGGTTTGAGGGGTCAAATTAGAATGGCGATCCATGTTATTTAGGCTGCAGACTTAGGAAAGAGGGCTTTTCTTTTGGTGAATGCAGATCATTTGACTTGTATTATACTAGAGGCATACCCATTCGTCTTTATCATGCCAATCCCAGCTCTCCCTGAGTGTCTGCTTCATGTGCCCCCGAGAGAGTTGCAAGAAACAGGCACAAAATCCAATGCATTTGTTGGTCAGAGGAGAGCTTCCCATCTAATATGACATAAGCACAAATGGGAAAGCCATCCAGCATGTGCACCATTTTTGAACCACACTAGTGATGCTGGAAAGAAGTTGCATCACAGCAGTAAAGCCAAGGCTATCTTGGCGTGTATAATGATACTGGTCTATTTTGGAGGATAGCGTGAGAGGAGAGATATGTCAGCTGTCAAGCATTAGGCTTTACCAAAGCAGAAAATAGAGACAGGTCCGCTGGCTGACCGTCCGCTCTGGGGATCGACAGATAGGCTAGCCATCCAATCTGGGCATTCTCTCTCCTCGCCAAACGTTTGTTGTTAATTTTGAGGGTTTTGGGGAAAAAGAAGACAAGGGTCGGATATACCCTGGCCGCTTTTTTGTTCCGCTGAAAGTGGTATTTCGGTTAGGATACTGAGAGGGCATGCGAGGAAATACATTTTCCCAGAATACAGCTGACCAGGTTTAAGGTGGGTACACCACAGCAGGTGTTCTAGTTGTCTTTGTGACTAGAATATTTGTGATATGTCATTGTATTACAAGAGATCACAGCCATATTGGTTATTTTCTGCTACTTACCCATTTGTATCAAGAAATTGATAATGATTGGGGACCACAATGCTCATAGGTCTAAGAATTGTGATGTTACAGGTGTTCACATGAACATTTTTGAGTGTAATTTTAAAGCTGTTTTGACACTGTAATCTATCTGCTGTTCTGCGCTCTGTTCCTGCTGTGAAAGGTTGTTAGTATGTTGTCCAGCAATTAGTACTGTGGACTGAATATTGTAATATGTGCTTACGCCAGCCAGTTGCCCATTTGGTCAATGTGAATGTGATCTAGTTGTTTTGATTTGATTTTTACATTAGTCTCACCTCCTATGGAAACAGATACATGGAAAATGATAGTCCCCGGTGGGAGATGCATGAGGGTTAATCAGATGCTCTCTTCACAGCTGTTTGGATATCTAAATATGTGAAGTGACTTCGGCTGATATCCTTTTGTTGATAAACCTTTTGGGTTTTGTTGACATTGTATACGGTCTGTAAGACAATGCTGTCTGACATTGAGAATGTGTCTGTATTTCTGTATTATGCATACAGTACCATATGACGTGGCAGGTCATTTGATGAGGTGGTGTTCTGCTTGGATGGACGGTGCCTCCCCCCCCCCCCCCCCCGGAATTGCCTACTGCCTTAATGCCCTCATAGTGGGTGGAGCCTCAATAACCCCTCGATTCAATGAATGTATTTGTTTTTGTCGTTTTTCTATTGGGTTGTATCCCTTAGCTCTATGATTGACAGCTCTTGTTTGTCTAACTCAGGGGTGTCAAACTCATTCCATGGGGGGCCTAATGTCTGCTGTTTTTTGGTTTTTCCTTTCAATGAAGCCCTAGAGAACCAGGTGAGGGGGGTTTCTTACTAACTAGTGAGCTTGATTCATCAATCAGGTACAAGGGAGGAGCGAAAACCTGCAGACACTCGGCCCTCCTTAGAATGAGTTTGACACGTGATCTAACCCATTGTGAAGTTAGTGGAGCCTACTTCTCCCATCATTAATATACATACTGCTGAGTCTATATTAGTGTAGCTGAGCTCAGCCAAGTGAAGTGTCAGAGAGGACTTGTCGTCTTCATTATACATGCCCAGCCATGCCACATCAAAGTATAACCATATTAAAGTGTTGCTCTCAGGTTCTGGCCACGTTGGTCCTCCATTTTAAAACATGTCAATGAGAAGGAGAGAGTGGAGGGGTTATTTACAAGTCAACGTGAAAATGTTCTTGATTTATAGCATGTTTTAAAAGATGTATCAAACTGTATAGTTTTAGCCCTAGGGACAACCTAGAGATACGGACAAGGGGAAAGCCAATCAGAAGTGGCTGAGGCCATCACTCCTGACAGACCATGGGAGATAAGTCCGGGAGAAAACTAGCTGCTGCAAGTAAGACCTCAACTTCATGGGACACATTCTATACAGTTACTTGTCTTCACCTTTGTGTTTCGTTCAAATGTATTGAATATTCAATGACCCGTTATACAAATATGAAAAGGTTCCAACAAGTGTGTGTGTCTTACTTTCTGTCCGTCTGTCTGCAGAGAACCAGACCCAGCTACTGGTGGTGAAGGGTCTGGAGGATGTGGAGGTGTGTGAGAGCGAGGGTTGCACCTTCGAGGTGACCCTCAACCTGTCCTACATAGATGGCACATGGACCAAGGACGGGGTCAGGCTCAAGTCAAAGCCCACCTGTCGCATCGCTTCCCATCGGAATAAACACACTCTCACCTTCACCCGGGTCACCGTTGGAGACACTGGCCTGTTCTCCTTCCAGACTGATGGGGCCCAAAGCTGTATTCAAACCTCAGGTCAACTCATTGTCATAGGTAACAGTATGACAGGACACAACAGAGGAGTAATGCAAAGTACAGGACCAATTGCATGACCCTCAGTCTAATTATTCTTTAATAGCTTGGAAGTCTTGTTGTCAGTCTGTCTCTACATTAGCCCAATATCTTCTCACTAACTTGGCATCCTGGCTAATGGCTTGGCCTAGAAGCAATGTCAAATTACAGATAAATCTCAGTACAGATCAAAGATAAATCAGTAGATAGTTAGATCAAATCCCATACTGGATCTCTAGGTAATATATGTCTGTCTGCCTGTCTGTCTGTCTGTGTGCCTGTGGTTGTCTGCCAGCCAGAGACATCCAGATCATGAAGGAGTTGGATGACAAGGAAGTGATTGAGAGGCAGAGTGTGACCTTCCTGTGTGAGGTCAACTATGAGAACGTGGACGGGCGCTGGTACAGAGACAACACCAGGATCAAACACGGAGACAACGTCAAGATCAGACACGAGGGTGAGCATGGGACACAACTGAGCCTAGTCATGGACATGTGTCTACAGGTCAGGATACTACTGATGAAACATATATTTCTATCTGAACACAGGTAAAACGCATACCATGTGCTTCAAGTCTGTAAGGCCAGCAAATGCTGGGGAGATCAAGTTCACTGCAGACAGGGTCTCCTCCTATGCAATTCTCACGGTGAAAGGTGAACAACAACTATTTTGAGATTCAACAACATCAATGCTCCTCAGTGACTCAAAAACCTTTGTCTGGATTAGGGGCCTTCTCTGATTAATGTTCACTAAACAATGGTTCAATGTTACTGCTGTCTCCACAGAGCTGCCTGTGCAGATAGTGAAGCCTCTGAGAGTGAAGATTGCTATGTACAAACACAAAGGCCTGCTGGAGTGCCAGGTGTCGCGGGCCAACGCCCAGGTCAGGTGGTTCAAGAACAGGCATGAGATCCAGCCCAGCCGGAAGCACCAGATCGTCAGCGATGACGTCTACAGGCAGCTCCACATCGACGAAGTGGTCTCGTCTGATGAGGACACCTACACCTGTGATGCTCATGATGACAAGACGTCCTGTCAGCTGTTAGTGGAGGGTGAGCTGCTCACACTCATTGTGATTAGTTCTGACTTATTATTAACAGTTCCAATGTTACTTATATTCCTGTATTAAATATTAATAAACAGTTTATAAGCAGATCTTCATACAAAGTGTGTCCCCCCTCTTACTTACAATCAATTACTAACCAAAACACATAATTCAACCAAATATACTGTATCCACACTGAAGTAATCCAACTATCTATCTCACACCCTTCCTGGAGTGTACCCTTTCTCTCTGAAATGGACTCTGCTTTCTCTGGAAGTGAAGATACTGATGGAGTGTGTGCCCCCTATGTGTGCAGAGCAGGCTATCAGCATATTGCGGGGGCTGAGGTCCCTGGAGGTGACGGAGCCCAGGGAGGCCCTGTTCCAGGTGGAGATCAACCTGCGGGCGGGGAGACCCCCCAAGTGGACCCTGGATGGAGAGGTCCTGATGGAGGGGCCTAGAGTGAGCATAGACCGGGAGGGGACCATGCACACCCTCTGCTTCAACAGCACAGACAGCTCTATGACCGGTACCGTGCAGTTCAACGCCGGGAAGAGCCGCTCCACCGCACAGCTCACTGTCAAGGGTAAGGTAGTACATTGATTATCACTAAGTGAAAGTTGTAACGAAACCCTGCTTACTGTTGACAGTGGCCCTCCAGGCTCTGGGCTAGAACACTGTATTGCTAGAGGTGTGTACAGTACAGTATTATATCATTATCCATCCCTGTACCTTTCCAGAGCGCCCTCTAAAGGTGGTCCAGCCCATGCCAGACGTGGAGGCTAAAGAGAACAGCTCGGTCACACTGAGCTGTCAGTTCGCCCCCTCCCCCAGGGTGGTGCGCTGGTACAGAGGCCGCACCGCCCTGCAGACGTCCAGCAAGTACAGCATGAGGACGGAGAAGAGCCAGGCAGAGCTGACCATCCAGGGCCTCAAGGAGAGCGATACTGGCCAGTACAGCTGCATGGCTGGAGGGTCAAAGAGCACGGCCAAGGTCACTGTGGAGGGTGAGGATGTATAAAAGAGGATTGTGTTTTTTGGAGACAAAGCTTCAATGTTCAGATGTTTAATCATGGAAATGAATTGCAGCTTCATGCTTGATTTTGTCTTTATGTACCACCAAGTACTGTATGGTGTGTTTAATCTACACTGTGCTGAACAGTAGATATTACCACAAACAAACCCTGACACCATGGATATGAGCTATTTATATTTGTTTTCAGTGCGAAGGCTAAAGATCATAAGGCACCTGGAGCACGTGGAGGTGGAGGAGGATAGCAACGCCACGTTCACCTGTGAGCTCAACTATGTGGTCGCCAATGTGCAGTGGCTCCTGAACGACAAACATCTTAACGCCAACCCCGTCACCAGGATCCAAAACATGGGCACCATCCACAGCCTCACCATCAAAAAGCTCTGCCCCCAGGAGAGCAGAGTCACGTTCAAAGCCGGCCTGCTCACCGAGTCCACCTCCCTCAAGGTCAAAGGTGAGCCTTGTACAGTTGTCAATTCTCACTTGTGAGCAGCCACTGCAAGAGAAATTGAGAAACTAGTGTAATGCTAGTGGTTGTATGTGTCCAGTCAGTACTGGTTAAGTCTTAAAGCACAATATCTGAAACGTATAGAGATCTGATTAGAATACGAGGCAAATCTAATAGACTCGGTTTTGACTTTGACCTGAAGATGGTTGAGTCTGATATAATCTGATATCCTTCAGTAGGGCTGTGGAGGTCATGACATTTCTTCAGCTGGTGATTGTCAAGCAAATAACTGCCAGTCTCACAGTAATTGACCGTTAATTAACATAAACACATTTAGTATGGCTTCCACGCATAGCCTACAAGCCACTGGTGAAGACTTTTGGAACATCTATATTTTAAAAAGTCTAATAAATCCATGTAATATAGCCTACACCAACACAATAAATCTGTTATTTATTTTAGACAGGTCTAAAGAAACATGATATGAAGAAAATGTAGTCTATTTCAGAAGAACAGAATAGCATACTCTGAGTTTTCCTTATGTTAGGCACTGATCTGGCTATGCCATATGGCTGTGGGCTACACTAGTTCATTTAGCAGACAAGATTTGCTTAGAATTCCGTGGCATTATTTTATATTATTTTATAGTATGAAGAATACAATTGAACATAGCTGAATAAAATAGAAAGGATATTTTCTCCAAACGATTTGAGGGAGTGCACACATGCAGATATTCTGTGTTGAGCGGTTAACAAAGGAACATGTCCTCCTATATGTTTAAATTATAGTTATTTATGTAACTTTAGTTGTGATACAAACGTTGGGCTATATATTTTGATTTTCAATGCATTCTAAGGCTGCATCATCGACTCTAATGATGAATTGAAAAAAAGTTGCATGAAAGGCATAAGCTCTGCTTAGTTTTTTTGCGCAGACTGTACACACTTCATCAGTCTCTCATTCACAATTTGACAAGCACTTGATAATGCCTCGTATTTCCCGGCAGCATCCCCTTTGTGTGGCCATAATGCACCCTAAAAATATCCATGCCCTTTGCAGCCAGTGGCGTTTGTGCCCTTGGGCTGAATATAATAATTATAATTCCCTTCTCCCGGCTGCCTGCTCAAAAGCACCTCTCACTCAAATGGCTCTCCGTCACGTGATCGGGTCTTTCTCACAGGCTACAAGTGAAGACAGACACATCAGGGACACAACTGCTCGCATCCTTATCCAATTCCAAGGAGCATATTGAAGATATTGGAAGAACTATCCACATTTACTTTTCATCAGCCAACAAGATTAGTAGGCCTAATGAACAGCAAAAGCACTAGCCTATGTCAATCTACTATCCCTCATAGTACAAAAGTTGACAGTAGTCTGGGACAGTTGTGGTATGGGATAGATCCCAAATTACTACAACCACTAGCATCGAAAAACCTTTTTTAAGCATTGAGGCTGACACAACAGATCATAACGTTTAGCTTAAAATGTTGATAAACTATTAAGCTACTTATTCACATTATAAGTGCAGCAATGCACACGCAGTAGTAGGCTATAAGCGCGAATGTTACATTAGCGGGAAAACACCATGACCGCAAATGCTATTATGCATGTAATGCTTTTATTATGAAGGTGCATTTTTCATGGTGAAAATTATCTTCCCCAAACTTGAAACTCATGTGCTGCGTATGTACAGTGAGGGAAAAAAGTATTTGATCACCTGCTGATTTTGTACATTTGCCCACTGACAAAGAAATGATCAGTCTATACTTTTAATGGTAGGTTTATTTGAACAGTGAGAGACAGAATAACAACAAAAAAATCCAGAAAAACGCATGTCAAAAATGTTATAAATTGATTTGCATTTTAATGAGGGAAATAAGTATTTGACCCCTCTGCAAAACATGACTTAGTACTTGGTGGCAAAACCCTTGTTGGCAATCACAGAGGTCAGACATTTCTTGTAGTTGGCCACCAGGTTTGCACACATCTCAGGATTTTGTCCCACTCCTCTGTGCAGATCTTCTCCAAGTCATAAAGGTTTCGAGGCTGACGTTTGGCAACTCGAACCTTCAGCTCCCTCCACATATTTTCTATGGGATTAAGGTCTGGAGACAGGCTAGGCCACTCCAGGACCTTAATGTGCTTCTACTTGAGCCACTCTTTTGTTGCCTTGGCTGTATGTTTTGGGTCATTGTCATGCTGGAATACCCATCCATGACCCATTTTCAATGCCCTGGCTGAGGGAAGGAGGATCTCACCCAAGATTTGACGGTACATGGCCCCGTCCATCATCCCTTTGATGCAGTGAAGTTGTCCTGTCCCCTTAGCAGAAAAACTCCCCCAAAGCAAAATGTTTCCACCTCCATGTTTGACGGTGGGGATGGTGTTCTTGGGGTCATAGGCAGCATTCCTCCTCCTCCAAATACGGCAAGTTGAGTTGATGCCAAAGAGCTCCATTTTGGTCTCATCTGACCACAACATTTTCACCCAGTTCTCCTCTGAATCATTCAGATGTTCATTGGCAAACTTCAGACGGGCATGTCTATGTGCTTTCTTGAGCAGGGGGACCTTGCGGGTGCTGCAGAATTTCAGTCCTTCATGGCGTAGTGTGTTACCAATTGTTTTCCTGGTGACTATGGTCCCAGCTGCCTTGAGATCATTGACACGATCCTCCCATGTAGTTCTGGGCTGATTCCTCACCGTTCTCATGATCATTGCAACTCAACGAGGTGAGATCTTGCATGGAGCCCCAGGCCGAGGGAGATTGACAGTTATTTTGTGTTTCTTCCATTTGCGAATAATCGCACCAACTGTTGTCAACTTCTCACCAAGCTGCTTGGCGATGGTCTTGTAGCTCATTCCAGCCTTGTGTAGGTCTACAATCTTGTCCCTGACATCCTTGGAGAGCTCTTTGGTCTTGGCCATGGTGGAGAGTTTGGAATCTGATTGATTGATTGCTTCTGTGGACAGGTGTCTTTTATACAGATAACAAGCTGAGATTAGGAGCACTGATCATTTCGTTGTCAGTGGGCAAACGTATAAAATCAGCAGGGGATCAAATACTTTTCCCCCTCATAGTTAGGCTCTACACCCATTGTAAAGTGGAGTCATGTGCTTAATTTTAAGAAGTTAATTGCCCACTTTCATTGTGATACAAACCTTATCAAAACATATAGGCCTATGGGCTAGGCTACATGAGGTGTGGTACTATGATTTCAAAAAGTCGCAAAAAATAGACATGCGTTTTTTGCCTTACTGCACAGAAGCTGGGCATCATTCACAAGTGATACTATATAATTCACAAGTGAGAGGATAATATTGTCACCCAGCAGACTATTCTTGATTTAATCTTGTCTTTACATATACTAAATAATATATGTGTGAAATTTGTTTTGATTTAGAATGGACCATTATCATGCACCTGTCTCGAAACAGGGACAGCGAGAAAAAACACGTCATTTACATTTACATTTACGTCATTCAGCAGACGCTCTTATCCAGAGCGACTTACAATTTGGTGCATTCACCTTATAGCCAGTGGGATAACCACTTTACAATGTGTTTTCTTTTTTTTTTTGGGGGGGGGGGGGGTGGCGTAATGGGGGTAGAAGGATTACTTTATCCTATCCCATGTATTCCTTAAAGAGGTGGGGTTTCAAGTGTCTCCGGAAGGTGGTGAGTGACTCCGCTGTCCTGGCATCGTGAGGGGGCTTGTTCCACCATTGGGGTGCCAGAGCAGCGAACAGTTTTGACTGGGCTGAGCGGGAACTGTGCTTCCGCAGAGGTAGGGGGGCCAGCAGGCCAGAGGTGGATGAACGCAATGCCCTCGTTTGGGTGTAGGGACTGATCAGAGCCTGAAGGTACGGACGTGCCGTTCCCCTCACAGCTCCGTAGGCAAGCACCATGGTCTTGTAGCAGATGCAAGCTTCAACTGGAAGCCAGTGTAGTGTGCGGAGGAGCGGGGTGACGTGAGAGAACTTGGGAAGGTTGAACACCAGACGGGCTGCGGCATTCTGGATGAGTTGTAGGGGTTTAATGGCACAGGCAGGGAGCCCAGCCAACAGCGAGTTGCAGTAATCCAGACGGGAGATGACAAGTGCCTGGATTAGGACCTGGGCCGCTTCCTGTGTAAGGCAGGGTCGTATTCTCCGAATGTTGTAGAGCATGAACCTACAGGATCGGGTCACCGCCTTGATATTAGCGGAGAACGACAGGGTGTTGTACAGGGTCACGCCAAGGCTCTTCGCACTCTGGGAGGAGGACACAACGGAGTTGTCAACTGTGATGGCGAGAACATGGAACGGGCAGTCCTTCCCCGGGAGGAAGAGCAGCTCCATCTTGCCAAGGTTCAGCTTGAGGTGGTGATCTGTCATCCACACTGATATGTCTGCCAGACATGCAGAGATGCGATTCACCACCTGGTTATCAGAAGGGGGAAAGGAGAAGATTAGTTGTGTGTCGTCTGCATAGCATTGATAGGAGAGGCCATATGAGGATATGACAGAGCCAAGTGACTTGGTGTATACCGAGAATAGGAGAGGGCCTAGAACTGAGCCCTGGGGGACACCAGTGGTGAGAGCACGTGGTGCGGAGACAGATTCTCGCCACGCCACTTGGTAGGAGCGACCGGTCAGGTAGGACGCAATCCAAGAGTGAGCCGCGCCGGAGATGCCCAACTCGGAGAGGGTGGAGAGGAGGATCTGATGGTTCACAGTATCAAAGGCAGCAGACAGGTCTAGAAGGACAAGAGCAGAGGAGAGAGAGTTAGCTTTAGCAGTGCGGAGAGCCTCCGTGACACAGAGAAGAGCAGTATCAGTTGAATGACCAGTCTTGAAACCTGACTGGTTTGGATCAAGAAGGTCATTCTGAGAGAGATAGCAAGAGAGTTGGCTAAAGACGGCACGCTCAAGAGTTTTGGAGAGAAAAGAAAGAAGGGATACTGGTCTGTAGTTGTTGACATCAGAGGGATCGAGTGTTGGTTTTTTGAGAAGGGGTGCAACTCTCGCTCTCTTGAAGACAGAAGGGACATAGCCAGCGGTCAAGGATGAGTTGATGAGCGAGGTAAGGTAAGGGAGAAGGTCACCGGATATAGTCTGGAGAAGAGAGGAGGGGATAGGG